CTGAACACAGCGAAATATGCAACCGTGAAAAGCGCGCTTGGATATAAACATTGATTTTGCTTCTTGGCAAACGCACTTTTAGGCCGTGTTCGCCAGCTGCATCCCCGAGATAATCGAACTCCTGGCAAGCCGGAACAAATACGCCGGTGAATTCCTTCGAAAGAAGGGCAAAAGGTACTGCAAAAGAGGACAAAAGATAACTTGAAACTATAAACAAAAAAGCATACCCCGCAAACGCAATGCAAGACCATAGCTATTAGAATATCACTAAAAAACTTTTCTATTTTTATAATAGCATTCGAGCAATTCATTGACTATCAGCGCATTGAGGGACATGCTAATAAGCGTGGTTTTATGGACTGAGTAAGGTTTGCATCTCAAATCGAGTCACGGCAGCCAAGTTCATAGAAGCTCTAGGTGTGTACTCATAAAAAAACTATAAAAAACTAGAAAAAATAGAAGACCTGAAGTCGGGGCTGTCTTGACTATTTTGAAAGTGTTGCAACAGAATGAAGAGTCAAGTGCATCACACTGGCCAATGTACCAACTGCGCATGCTACGCTAACCTTTATGCTTAAAAAGCGAGTCAGCTATTCTGGTTATTGAATATAGCCATCTGACTATTGATGTTTCACTAACTCGTGCTCTTGGTAATTATTTGCGTCAAAAAAGGCAATCTGCGTACGGACGTTCTCGCCTCGGTAGCCATAGCTCGACCATGGTATCCATTTATAGTAGTTTGAGTTGATTATTCCACATCGCACCTCTGAGAAATCGATAGGTATTATACACCGTTCACCAAAGGTACGAGTCGACTTTATTTGTTGTACTAAAGTACAACGCTTAACACCTCGCTCTTACTGCTGTTACCGTTCGAATTAGTTGAAGTTTGTGCAAGTTTTTCACGCAGAACTCGTGCAACCCGCTGAGTTGTCGTCTTGACTTGTAGCATCATACATTTCCAAGAATGAACTTAGAGAGGCAAACATATAGCAACGATAACTACTATATTTTGTTAATGACGACATTGTTATCTATTCTAGCCAATAGTAGCAGCATCTTGCCCAATAGCGCAAAAATAAAGTACTTATCTGGCAACAATTATTTTTCCTTTATTGAAACGCGGATTGTGGCTAGCAAGGCTTGAATGTGCATTTGCGGTCGAAAAGGCCGTGTATTGTCGCTGAGAATGCACGTAGCTCGTAATGAAATGCACACCTCCATCTAATAAAGGCGCAAAGAAGGTAGAATTAAAGGGGACTGCTTACAAACAAAATGTTATACTTCACAAATTACTTACTCGATATAGCGAAATAAGAGGGGTCAGAAACGAACAATTGAATGTTGTTTTTAATATGTTTTACGCTCCTCTGTAAATCATTTGGATTTTAATATTTGTGGTCATAATTGTCTTGAAACGTACCTGTCGTAAAACCTTTACTTCGACCATTAGGTAGTTTCGCCAAAGGGTGTCGATAACAACGCTATGTATAGAATGTTTAGCAATTTTCTATGTTTTAAGTTATATATTTTTATAAGAAGTACTTTGAAATCAGAGAATTACTTTTTATAAAAGTACATAATTCAAATCTCTAACAATCACAATATGAGAATTTATGTTGAACTCGCGATAGCTTTATAATAAAATTTGGAATCTGTACAAATGTCAAACATCCTAAATTTGAAATTTCAAAAAACATGCAAGGTGTTATATTTTTTTGCCTACCATTTTTGTTTATTCTCACAAAATTCGTCATAGATATACGTAAATATATAGCCCTGAAGTCTCTAAGCACAGCAGTTGCGGGACGCACACGGGCGCACCCAAACGACTTTTTTAAACCATTGCTTTTTGCACAGCGTTAGAGAAACGCGTCTTGAAAAAGCAGGGTTTCCAAGCTTAATTTAGCCGAAGTCGAACAACGCAACTGCGTTAGGATAACAATTAGAGCCACAATAACGACAGAAATGTATTAACATTTAGCCAGTATGTTAAACAACTCAGGAAGGATTGTCATTTTAATTATGGAATTTCTAATTATTTGATAATAATTAGAGAGAATTTGCTCTAAGGCACAAAAGCAATACCTAAATAATATATGTTTCATATTTAAATCCAAGTACATACAGTGCAAATCGGATCGTTGTATGGCACCTTCATGTTTGCCACATAAGAAAAACTAAGGGCACAAAATAATTCTTAGAAGCGGAAGTATAATCTTTCATTTTTTTTGGTCGGGTCTGTCAATTAAGTTGTTTAAATGATGCCCTGCTTCTTGGCTCCATGTAAGCTTCATAATTTCAAAATGTAAAAACGACCACCAAAACTTTTCTGCGCTAAACAGAAAAAAAAAAATTCGAGAATTTTATTTACATCTGAAGGATCCATATTTCAAAGTTATTCGGTCATTCATCTAGCCTTAAGTCATTAACATACTATACAATGGTATTGGCATAATATATTATTAGTCCGCATGGGCAGCTTAAAGCTTTTTTTGACATTTTACACAGCTGCGTGCGGTCTAAAGTGAGATACTAAAAACAATGTACAGATGAAAGCAGTTAAATATTAAAAAAAAACATCAAAGTATAATAACCACTTAAAAGCGATACGTAAGAGCTTTCAAAAAGCACATATTGTATATGCTATAATTCAAAACTTAGCGAATTTTTGGGATGATGATTTGCGCTTTCTTTGCTATTATATGTTGTGTGTACGTGAGAAATTCACGTTTAAGGATCTTTTTATTTTGAATTACTTCATGCCTTGCAGCTTCTCCTGATTTGCTGCTTGCCTACGCTGTTGGCTTTTATTGAGATACTACAGATTACGGCTGAGCATTTATAAATCTAACGACCAGTGTAAGGTAGAATAAAATACATTTTTACTGAATTGATGATGTTTGAAATGAGCCTTTCAAGGTAATTTGCTAAAATCACTCGAGATATTGCAAAGATATGGGCTCTAGATTACGACGACACAAGTTTCACAGATACGTAATGCTTCGGTCGCTTGGAGTGACAAATTCGGTGCTGGAGACTCATAAATTGAATATCATCATATGATTTACTATGGAACATCTCCAGACACGCAAATGGGCCAGCTTATGATACGCGTCTTTAGTGAGTGTCAATATTTCACTAAAAATATTCATATCGGGAGTAGATACAGACAATTCGTTAATCGGTTATCGTGCTAACTCAGATTCTTCAGCACAACCTTTGTCCCAGTGTTTTTTTTTGTATTGAGCAATACCAATTGGGAAATCCTATCTGTGGGCCACAGATGTAACCCCTGCTAGGGAGAATCGATTCAACATGTTAGCGGTGAAGTTGCGCCATTCACTTAAAGTTGCGTGATCTTCCGCACGCGTTTCGGCTTTTATATAGGTTCAAATGAAACTCAAATGTTTTGTGCTCCAACTTTTTTCATATTTTTTTTTTTTTTTCGAATTTCCACATCACTAGTATTAGTTGCTTTTCGAAATGATCAGAGTTGCAAGATGTCACAGAGTAGCATTGGTTCACTGTTTATCACAGCAGATTCATCGCATTACACAAAACATCCTGACTGTTTTGAGCGACAGATGGAAGGTGGAATTGTATAAAAAACGACGTTTGATAGCTTTCATAAATGATGGATGCATTGCGCACTTAATCGCCTGGTAGCCTGACTCTTAATATCGTGGCGGTGTTCGATGCGTCCTGCGTGCATTGATTAATTATGAATCCTTCTATAATTGGCTGGCTCATTAGTTGTGGTGTCGACGGAAAATGATATGATCAGTGTCTTTTACGGGAATAAAATGGCAGAACGCTTCTATTAGAGGCGTCGTACGTACGAGCTGATAACAGCATCAGCGTGCACACGCGCACAAACATGTATGATGCTTTCAAGTAGAGATTCAAGTCGATACATATTTTCATATTATTTAGCGATTGGTACGATTTTTACAAGTCAGCCCGAGATACTAGATTTGCACATTTATAACGATGCGAGAAAAAAGCTGGTTTTAGGCGTATATTAATGAAAAACAAAACGTGTCCTAGATATTTGTGGCAGGTGTGCCTACCATAGAATATACGACTATATTATTGCATAGCTTTATATATTTTATGTCATATGGTATAAACGTTCGAGGAAATAGTACTATTTTCTATTACTAGTTACCACATCTTTCCGTAATGGTGCAGTGGTGATTTGGTTGCCAGCTTAACTTAGGAACGCGTGGGACGTTTCTGGTTCGGAACCAAACGCAGACATGTTAATGACCAGCAGTCTGAACATGGCGATATTGGACGTAGTAGCTCAAAACATAAATATTAAATGTTCAGTCCGCAAAGCTATACTCTATATCGACGGAAACTTATGTTTATTGCAACTGTCAGGGGTCCTGCGTTTCATTCACTTCAAATCAGTACATTACTCAATTCGAGTGTTTGTATTAGGTATTTTATAAGGACTACATACAGATAGTTTGAATGGATTAGCAGTATCGTGCTTATTTGTTTGATACGTAAATTATTATGATAGACATGTTTTTTTTTCTTTTTTGAATAAATCTGCTTGAAAGTAGCTACGATATAGTGAAATTGTACATATGTGGCTATATTTTATGCATAAAAAATAAAATGATAGCAAAAAATAACATTTTCTTGATGGTGTATTATTAACGCGTTACAGTTTATTTTATATAATGGGAACACGTTTGCGCTCACATAGAGACCCTAGTCCAATGCATCGGTACTCACGGAAAATTGAAGTGCATAGCTAAGAAGTGTAATTGTTGAAATAAGCTAGTTGAAGTAAGCTAAAGCGTGTTTTTCGTCTGCTAATTTGCCCTCGGTGCTATATAGTTTCGCTGCTCCAGTGAGTATCGCCACATGGTCGGCTTTCCTAAACACGCTTTGAATCAAGTGAAGAAAACTAATCACTGCCAGACAAACGTTGTTCCGTTTTCTGTACGTATCTTCTTTTATCTTCTATGTGTGCATTTTAGGCCGTGTTTGCGGGGTGCATTCCAGAGATCATCGACCTCATCGGGTCGAGACCCAAATACGGGGGAACATTCAAGTCTGAGAGAGGACGGAGGTAGGAAGCCACAAGGAAATTCTCAATAGTAATAATAATAATAATAGTAATATTATTATTAATCATAGGCGACGAAGCAATTATCAGTATATTTACGTTTCGTTTCTACTATGAGAAGTATTGCAATTAATGGGGTAATCGGTAAATTAATCAATTTGTTTAGGCCTAAAATGTTAAGGGAGAAATCACAGAAACTTTTCTCGCCAAATGTCATCTTTTTTATAGATATCTTCACTTGAGATGATTTGCACATAAAAGCCCTAATTGCTCCCAAATGATTAAGCTATAAAACCATTATTCAAGGTTTCACTTATCAACGCTGTATATCTCACCATAGACCCCGCGGACGTCTAAATAGTCATCTAAAGTTATCAGGCGTTAATGTCATAATATTAGAGTTAGGTATAAAAATGGCGAGAAAAGCTATCAGTCTAGAAAGAAACAACTTCTTCCTTGCCATAGGCTCCTTTCAAAAATTATAAGCGACTCCTAAACATAATGATCCGTTCAGATCATGCGTTCACAAAGTTTTATACCATGTTTTTCAGAATGTTTTAGCCAAACATGTTTAATTTAAGCGTCTTAGTTCTTAGCGAAATACAAATCCGTAAACAGCTAAAGGTGACTTACTGAAAATGTTAAACAGTTAATTAAAAGAGCATCATCGACATTTAACAGAACGTATGTTACGGCCTCACTCAACGTAGAAGTGACCAGTATTTCAATGGGCTAATCGGGCTAGTTTTCGAACCCTCCAGTTAAACCCTTCCTGCTGGTTCCTCTGTGCATATTTAACACTTTTATGTCATTCGCTCATAAAGTCCTTGTTTTGAACCACTCTAACTAAATTCATATCCAATACACACACTTGCTCACACACACTAATACACGAACGTTCTTCAAGTAAGAAAGAAAGACTGACTCGCTGCGCCAAAATACAGTATTATATCGCTTGTATTTGAAAAAGAACATTCAACGTTCTCTACTTTGCACTCTACAAGTTCGATATGATACTGTATGATAGGTCTATATAACTGCAGTTTCATCGAAATAAGAAGGCATAGGAATTGCCGCGCGATCAGTTCAGATATGTGATTAATAATAATACAGTCACCTACTAGAAAACTGTATAAAACAGGTAGTGTTTTAGAACGTCACGTACTTAGTATATATATGAAAAACACTTAATAATAGTTTAAACTGAACCAGAAACTAAGCTATCACTCAAGCTCCCTAACAGACTTTAAAATACAATTATGTACAAGCGATGTCATCGTTATTGCGCAAGGCAGGGAACACTGACCCGTTTAGATCAACCAGGTTCCTGTAAATATAGTGTGCTGATAAACTATTTCATTTACTTTACAAAACAATATCATAGGTAATACACTACGCCAGTTCAGGTAATACTAATCAATCACACGCTAAATATTCCCCTAGATACAAGATCTTCTCAGTCAGAGAAATCAAAACGGCTATCAGGTCACAAAAATGAAGTTTCGCTTTAATTGTGGTTTATTCATCCCTGCTGAAACAGTCATGCGAAAAAGGCCATGGATAGTTGTCGTCCGCCAAAACAGCGGAGTTGGTTTTGTGCCATAAAGGCTTAGGGGCGCCATTGGCTAATATAGAAACTAATGGTGGCTTATCCTCTATTTACGCTAAACACATTAGAACTATGCAAAGAAAACTCTTATCAATGAATTGTTTTCTTGATACCTGTATATTAATAAACAAGCGTTGTCTTTGGAAGTTTACTCAAAGATTATTCGGAATGCTCGAGGCGAACGGCTCGCAGTCCGTGCGCGCATACGATGTCCAGGTTACTGAGGACGTTAGCGTCCACGCACCACTAATTTAATCTAAAACAACTTTTATGTTCTATTAAACAATAAAACCGATGGCTTTAACGTCAGTAATATGGCTTCTCAAGGAGTATTGCTGCTCGTTTGTTGCTGCTGTTAGTTTTACCACCGAAATAGAGTTGATTCATCTGGACATGCAAAGACATGGAGCGCTGACTAACTGTTGTATTTGTACAATTACTGAAATTACTATTATATCAGAATAGTGCGAGTTATTGAAACGACCAAATTCCGATAAAAACACATTGCCTTATGGCAGCCGCCACTCTGAAAGGACTATCGAAAAAAATTGTTTTGCATTTTATGTGATTCTCTGCACTGATTTTTGGAAGAATTTCTTTCATTAAAGATTGTGATATTATAAAATGCTCTTCCAGATTCCCCTAATTACTTCGACATAGAGCACAACTGGGAACGCCTTACATTGGCTAGAAAAATGTTTTAGACTAGTAAAACATTTTGGAAAAAAGTAATGTTTTGCCAATTTTTTTTTAATCGCGGTTCAAGCGTATAGCACGCTTCCGCGACAATGCACGAACTGTATCAATATACCTCTAGTAATGTCCTCTGAATGTGGCTCTATATCGAAACGTTTATAACGCTATAAATTGCAACATGTTGATCTATTCACTTCAAGCCAAATGTGGTCTAGTTGTTACATATACTACACACGTTTCTTGCCCGATAATATAAAGAAGCATAATAAAGAAAACTATATTTGTTATCAATCGAATTGCCGGAGCAACACTTTGACACATTGTCATGTCATACAATGCTGCCTCTGGCCAATAGGAAAAAATATAACATGTTCCAAATATCCTTGCTTGCCTGAGCAAGACAAAATTAGTAGTGTGATTTGGAGCATAATGTTAATCCAACGTAGTTTAGAGACACCCGCTTGTGAAGAAATGCTTGCGGGCATAGCACTGCTTGTCATTGGTTGATGCTGTTTTAATTTCACAGTATCCAGTTGTACTTGCTTTTCTAAACACAAATACTTTAAAAAAAAAAAAAAGACCAGCACTATCCAAGTTACAAACAGTTTAGCAACAGTCGCAATACATAAATGCTAGCAGCAAATCTAAAATACGAACGATGCATTGACATGATGCATGTTGTTCTTCATGCTCTCTAATGAATGAACCTACTATAACAACTAATCACTAATCCGCCGAGCTCTTGAGTAAAAGTATAATAAACCAATCAGAATATAAAGAATAATTCATACCGTTTATTTCTACTTTTTTTATTTTGTATAATTATCTAGTGATAGAATTTCGTTGCTTTTCAAACCCCCTATACGTCTACTAATACCTGAGGATGATTGCGTCTTTACTCTAGATCCTACCACATTCTACTCCTCACTAGCCAATTCACCGTCAGCTTAAATCTCTCGGTCTGTTTGTGGAAGGTGAATTTCCGAATTTTATTTGTCTGAGCCATGGTCTGAACGAAAATACAAACTAAGTAAAAGAAAAACTAAAGCTTTGGCCTAACGCACGTATCTTGGAGTCGTGTCTGAGAATTAGGAAATATATACAGGGCATTTTTTTTTTTTTGTTTATTAGACATACTCTATGAGAATTTGAAACGAATGTGGTTTCTCTAGGCTTTGTCAGTATCCTTGCAGCTGCTAACGCATCTCATCATTATTCTTTATTGATGACAATCTGCAAACGAGACTCAGTGAAAGTACAGTGTTTACGTTTTTCTGCTAGATTGGCTAAAAGTATTGAAAGGAATATGGATATATCATCTGTAAATAAATTAATTTTGTAAGAGAGACCTAATGCAACTTGAGACTTGTAGTAGCTCATCTAAGAGCAGACTTCATTTGCGTGGTGTCTTCACATTTACTCGTTCGTAACGATAATAAAATTAAAAAATGCTGACGTGTTATTTTATTGCAATTATTTTTTCTTTGGCTACGCTTATGTCAGCTATTAGCAAATGTCGATATTGCTGTCGTTTCATTGAAACATTTCTAGAATCTTTACAACCTTCGTGCCGGGTTAGATGTTATTATAATAGCTCAAACGTTACTTATTGAGGCAACCTTCTTGAAGGTAACATTCCTTATTTAAATAGATATGCATATAAAAATCCGGCTAATTTAATTCACCTCGTAGCCTCTGTAGCGGTGTCTAGACATCTCCAGAGCCGGAAGTTATGAGGCGCTCAAGGCCAAGAGTTAGCTGGAAAAAAATTTTACTACACCCCAAATTGGTTTTGCTGTTCGATAGCTGAACAAGGTCGATCGATCTGGTATCAGTCCTCATAACAGGTCAGTTCTTTGAGCAAAAATTTGTTTGCTTCAGCTTCAACACAGCAATATCGACATCAGCTATTGTTGCCATGAGGACAATACGGTACTCTCTTAATTAATAGTTTCTCATTAATTTTCAAAGTTGAGCATTTTGGCATCGATACTGTACAAGTAATCGGCTTGTAACGTGCTTAATTTTATATTTCTGCTGCGGTGATTCATCTTCGACGGCAACTACTGGCTCTTCTATATTGGAAATCGTCGATTTATGCAACTCAACACGTACATTTTTCGACGGAACGATCATGTCGTCACTCTACTCTGCGACAACATAAATAACTATAACTTCTATTTCGTGTTGATATGCATAACTTATGACTCAATATATGGGTTATATAATTTATTCTCTGAAATATACCGTCTTATCTATGCTGTTTCATTTCATTCGTGTTAATCTATTTTGTATCAATAATCTTCTTTTGTCGATCAACAGACACATCGTAGTTTGTGGGCATATCACATACGAGTCGGTATCACATTTTCTAAAAGATTTTCTACATGAAGACAGGGAAGACGTTGACGTCGAAGTCGTCTTTTTGCATCGGTGAGTCATAACTGTGATATTACCAGTGTTCAAAAATCTATGCTTAATCAATAAGTCACTTAGTAACCTGGTTTGTCTTTGTAATTTTATGACTTGTTATAGTCAAGATATTGTGTCTTCAGGGTAGTCTACGCTACCTTTTAGAATTGTTTTAAAACTTCAGGCACTTCTTACTTCTATTATTAGGCGACCGAGATATTGAATCATAAACATTATTTTTAAAGCTGGGTTTCCAGAGCGGGAGATCTACTCTGCGAAACACGAAAATTTAGAGAAGTATTTATTGCTCCCAAACGAAAAAGATGCAATTGCATATTTTTAGTTAGACATGCATTATCGTATACCTTAAGAATTGGCTACTTCTCTGTGAGACATTCAGAGTTAATCAAATGGCATCGAGATAGCGCTTTAGCATGCAAGTAAAGTCGCGTGTAAGCCAAGTTCTGCGGCAGATCGACAACGGTACTTTAAAAATAACGCCATTGTGATGCTTCTTCCTATCACTCCTTTTGATAGTATCAAGTGGGCTTACTGTTGGCATTACTGACATGGCTCCGTAAACGCGATTTGCACTAGGTACCCAACTGACGAGTAAAATTAAGGAATCATTTTCTAAAAACGTATTGCGGGTTTGGTGTTGTGATCTATGGCAACTTCCCGTAGACTACCGTCAAACAAAAAAACAGAACAAATATATACGTCATGTTGCACGTATTTTGAAAGCAGGTACACCTGTAAAGTATTATCTAGATTGACTGATCGTAAGCCAGATACAAATCGCACGGTTAGCGTAATATTTAAAATATGTGCCAGGAGAAGACGCCTTAGAAGCTCCATGCCGGTTGTTTGTCCTATAGAAAGAAGCACCGCATACGTAAACTGGCATAGTGTTTGCATTTGAATGATCTTTATGTATATCTCTATTAGGTTAGAACACTTACATTTTGGGTGTGGCTCTACCGAACGGAAAAGTATGCGTGCATTAATTCGTATAAAGGCTTGTAGGCCAATGTTAACAAACGGTTGTGTAGAAATTTATGACACCGTATTTACCTCTTCTCAGCATATTTGATATAAACATTTTCAGGTTTTGTATTGTTAGAATTGCTTTGAAACGTCAAATAATTGATGGACAGCAAAATTATAATAAATTCGAAAATAATACAAGCGATATTGCTAGCTATATTAACAGTGAGATATCTAGCTATACAAATTTACATACCCATTTACGGCTCTGCATGTGCTGTCTAGTATATGTACAAATTATTCGGCGCTCGTTTCCAGAACATATTCAACATGGGTGAAATAAAGCTGATTTAATGTACTAGGAAGAGTTCAACTGCAACGGTTTTAAAAAGATAACGTTTCTAATCAAGGGATCGACACAATCCTGACGACAACTGTATCAAATGGCCTCAACTAACCCTACCGTAAAGCCTTTAGGAACACACTAAAGGAGTGTGAACTTTTGAAAAAAAAACAGTGCTCAGGCAGCGTTGAATCAATTCAGAAATGATGCAATATCTACCCTCGGGATGACATGTACCAGAAAAAGCCACCGTCTTTCAATTCGAGTATCGATATGATGGACTTTGGCTTTTACTCATTCACTAACCCTTTTTCACCTATAAATTTCGCTTGCTCCAAAAGAGGTAGTTTAACAGTGACCATCTGGTTGTCTCGAGTCTTATCGGCCTCACTGGTGTGACATGCTAAAGTATAAACTGGCCAGAGTAATGATTTCTGATACCTGACTTCACTGTTTGGTAGCCTTGCGCATACAGGATTTGTATTTGTTATTTCGCTTACCCTTTTGCATATTCTGAGCTTTATAAAAGACGAAACCCTGACATCAGCCAGACCCATTTCAAATAGGTTAGTTACTTGGTGCGTGTGAGCATCAACCCAGTCCCACAGACTATCCACCTTTGGCGATGCGCAAGATTGAACCCGACGTTCCAAGGTGGCAAACGGCCACATTATGTTTCGACAGTTTTCGAAGGCTTTAAGAGGGCATCCGTTGAAGTAAAATGCTCAATATTTAGATCTTGTTTTTTAGAAGAAGTAAAAAACTTTCATCATCTACGCAGTGTTCGTATAAACACTTTAATAGAAACATATTAAAAAGTGACTGACATAATACACACGCCAATTTATATTTCCTCAAAGGCATGCTATTTTGAGAACATTTGCCTAGAGTTTTTCAACAGCAAATAGGGCAACTCACAATAGTACTTCAATGCTATGCCGTCGCTGAAGCATTTTTCAGAGAAGCCTTGAACGATGGCTTCGCACAGGAGTTATCAAACTGTTTCATCAATATAAAATACTGAATAGAGTGCGGGCAAAAGGAATGCTCTTTTTTGTAAGACAATTAAAAAAGTTAATCGCAGGTGATGTACCATACGTTAGTATTCTCAAGCTATAAAATAGAAGTCCGTATTTTTTTAGCTAAATTTTCATTTAAAGTAAAAATCTACTAGGTCAGCATGATACAACTGGTTTAATTGTAGATTGATAACATATGCCTTTTTTACTTTACGTTGTAGAAAACCCCCCGACCTAGAACTCGAAGGCCTCATCAAAAGGCATTTTACGACTGTCGAATTTTTCCAAGGAAGCGTCATGAACCCCATTGACTTACAGCGGGTGAAGGTGAGTTTTGCGTATAACATGAATTATATTCTGTGGGATTTCACAGAATACATTTGTACGATAAGGATGAAGCAAAAATAAATTTGCAGATGGAAAAGGTTATTCGAGAACAATAGATTGAGATTTATGAATTAAGAGGCACCATTATCCGGCTATTGCGAAGAATTTTTCTCTTTCACTTCCATAAAAACGAACCATTAATAGAACACTAGAGGGGTTTAACACAAATACCCCTCAATGCGGTAAATTCACACTAGTAGAGGGACTAAATGTATGAATAATTTCACAAAGTCAAACACCTGCGGCGAAACACATTGGGAAATTGAGTTTTATAGTATAAACCAAGTAAAATGTTTAATGCTCTTTTTAAGTTTATCAATTTGATTAACTCTGGGCATTTTTTGCGCTTTTTAGGGCTAGGATTTTTATATATTCTAATCGCTTTCGAACTAGCAGTTGTTAACTCATTCACATTCTTGGGAACAACACATGGCCATCGTAACCAGCTATACTGCGTTTACACGGCATTCACGTGCCCTCATGCCAGTGTACACCCTTCAGTGTGCTAGTAATCTTACATCCTTACTACAAGACCTCCTTAATGGCCATCTTGCTAGCAGTCGAAGGCCGTCACCATGTACTCCTAACGGTTCGGTGTTTTTGCACTTCCGTGCATAGCACGTTCTTCACGCTTTTACTTTCTAGAACCACTATAATCTGAATCTGATGACTTCGTAAGGTTTATGGCCTCTTACTCCCAGTACGGCACACGCGTGTCCTCCTTGTCGCTTAAGCTTCATTATTTTTTCACGGTTTCGCCCTTTTCCGTCCTTCGCTTCGGCACCAGCGATCAAAGGGGTAACGACGTGACGCTGCTACCGATACCAACGATTGCCTCGAGGGTGGCATGTCTCTAATTTCCAACTGACTGACTCTAATTAGCGGCTTCCGCGTTGTCGCTCTGGTCTTCGATTTTGTAGTTTCTTCGTTTCTATTGATCTAGTGCGGACTTAAACGCTCCTACAAACTTTAAGCCGTTGCTCGGTTTCTGCTAATACGTCAACTAGCGGTTAAGGCTTCTAGATTTTCAATGATAACTAACAGCTGTTTGTTCTTTACATTGTTGGCCATAACAATGTATATACACATAGAGAGAAAAGGAGAGCAATTTGCAGCTTTCCTCCATGCAACTTAACATAGTTTAAAAAGCCAACCAACCTTGTCTATTACATCATATATAATATAATTAAAAAACTGAGTAAAAACAACAGAATAAACATTATCTGTGAAAATCTATTTTACCTACTATTTTTTGGATTACATAACAGCTATATTTACCACAGAAATTATAAATAGTTTATGATAAAAAAAAAAACGTCCACTTTAGCTAGTGCGAACAACACGAAATGCTGCTGCTTTTTACATTTTAAAACAACTTGTTTTTTTTTTTAGAAAAAAAAATTTCTATAAAAATACGAATATTTGTTACTACGTGAACTTTAACCTGACGTATTCATTTTTATTTGGCTGTTATCGCGGTGTCATAATTTTAACGTCTATAACGTTTTCAACGAACCCTTCCTAAAAGGATAGAATAGGCCGTACTGCAAGGATCTAAGGCCAAAGTCTGCGATTCTAATCTATCTGGGCACACGCAAGTTGATGACATCTAAAACATTGTTAACATAGTAAATCACTAAAAAAAAAGTTCAATCCTGTTTGATGATGAGAACTTTACGCTTTGAACGATACGTATAGGAAGACGAAGTTTGCAACTATCGTAAATAATTGACAGCCGCATATATGAAATCCATATTTCTTTATTTCTGAGGTCTGTTTGATTTATTGGTGCCGTCGTATTGGTCTAATGTTTTTGTGTTATAGGTCCACGAGGCAGATGCATGTTTGGTGCTGGCAAACAAGTACTGCCAGGACCCCGACGCCGAAGACGCCGCCAACATCATGCGAGTGATTTCGATCAAAAATTATTCCGATGATATTAGAGTCATCATTCAACTTATGCAGTACCATAATAAGGTCAGTACGTGTGTCGAATAGAAACACAAAGATATTGATTGTGTGCTATGTGAGTTGTTTTAATTTGTTAAAGATCAATTTCATGAAAAAGCTCGCTTATGATTATAACTTATTTATTGTGACTATACTTTGACCGTTTCAGGCGTATCTGCTGAACATCCCCAGCTGGAACTGGAAACGCGGAGACGACGTGATCTGCGTGTCCGAACTAAAACTCGGTTTTATTGCCCAATCGTGCCTAGCCCCGGGTTTCTCCACAATGATGGCCAATTTATTCGCTATGAGGTATTCTAAATATATTATATTACCTATTTACTTTTAATAAAAACGTATTTATATTATATCAAAATAGATTTGAATATAATTAACATACGTTTCAAATCTAGATCTAGATTATTATTATTTGAACCATCCCGGCGCCACCGAAATACGTAGGCAGAGCATTTTCCAAAATGGCCCAAGCAAAATTCTATTGTATGTGACCTTTGCAATATTTCTACTCCGAAAATATGCTGTTTTACATGGCGCAAATAACATTTTAACATCATCGCTCCCTGTAGAACTCCATTGTGATCTAGAATGTTCTGTCTCCTAATTTAGCACACATAATAATAATTATTATCTATGTCCTGTTAGTATTGTATTTAGATGCTTAATAATTCGAAACTAATTCAATAGGTCATACAAGACGTCACCCGATATGCCTGCATGGCAAAACGATTACCTGTGTGGCACGGGCATGGAGATGTATACCGAGAGTCTTGCCGCCTCCTTTACCGGGATGACTTTCCCACAGGCGGCCGAGTAAGTATTATTATCGAGTACGATACCCCTAACGACACGAACAATGCACCTATAATTTACTCCTACCGGATGTAGGTTTGGGTACGCAGGTGCCTGAAGCACTGATACTTTATTTCTACGCGCATTCATACTCTTAAGCTTTATTAAATATGTTTATTCTCGATCTAACCAATTGCTTTATTATAACTCGTACCCACGTTCACCCACTTCCTCTTCGAGTCGAGTTAGCCTCCGAACTGAGTCTAGTCCGAAACGAAACAACTGCCAAAGCAAGATCACTAGCGACCCAACAGTAATGGATATATAGTACTTATTAACTTGATAGCATATTCTTAGCACTTAAAAATATATAAAACTGAGTTACTAAGTAAAGCCAAAAAAAAAACACTATTTGCTTATATCTATAAGAATATTCAAACGGCATCAGTTAATGATCAAAATCGTAAAAGGTAAACTATATCTCTAAATTAAGAGATTATGTTACGTAGAAAGTTCTTAAGTTTATTTTTCCCTTTACCTCTTTACCGGTTCCTTACTTTCATACATCGTTCAAAAGCGCTTTTTCTTCCATAAGCGCCTTGTAGTTCACGTAAGATGAATAGAATTGTACGTCGAGTTCAGACTTCAAGGGTGAGCGTTTCTGGTAAACAACAAAGTGTACGTTTTCTAAACCCATACGCAATGAATTTTGCTTGAAAATAAATTCAAAAACGGTATCTCGGACCTAGAGGATGCACTCCACTCATAGTCGGTCATTGGAGGCGTCACCATGAGAATCTCAGATGGCAAACAATTCCTTAACTGACCAGGGCTATGTGATCATCCGACTATCAGCAGCCGTCTTGAATGTACAAAATTTCATCACCATTCTAAAGCCCAGATGCTCCATAAATTCACCCTTCTCTCAATAGTTCTCGTCCATCGATCCACACATAATGTCAAATTTTTGTTGGGAATTGTTACGAGTGGCGAGAAGAGGCTGCGAAAGATACAACTAATCCTAGGACTAAGTCAGATCTCCATCCGAAAAAAAAAAACTAATTTATTATAATAATAAATAATATAATAATTTACATTTGGAGGGTCTAAATGGTTTCAAACACTGTAAAATGCTTCAGAAGGGTAAGATGGTCAACAAGAACATGTATACTGGGACGAAGGTATCCATTTGAAAGGACTCTAAAGACAAGGCAAAGCTATTCTTGTTCATAATAATGCCAGATCACATATATGGTTTATCATATATGGCATTATTATTATTTTAAGAACTTACGTGAAAGTTGCCCTTAAACCTAACGTAGCGCTAGTCTCCAAACTCCGCGTAGACAGCTTACCACTTTTTCAATGCTCGAAATTGTTAACAGTAGTTCTGACAATGAAGATCATGTCGAACACTGCTTTTGCAATACTAAACCTAAATGTTTTCGTTAAGCTGGAATAAATAAATTGATAAATCAAACTCAAACCTTTGTTACACCACGGCATAATATTTATAAATTTGCAGTTAAGACTTTTACAGGAGATCGATGTTATGCTCTATGTACAGAAAAGATTATTCGAATTGTACTATTGTGAAATTTTTAAAATTATTTTCTGACACATTTTACAGACTTTGCTTCGTCAAACTTAAGCTGCTCCTGTTGGCGATTGAGGTGCATTCGGATGATTCTTCCGAGTCCAAGATTGCTATTAACCCCAAGAAAAAGGTGAAAATCACTTTGAATACTCAAGGATTCTTCATCGCCCAGTCAGCCGACGAGGTCAAACGGTACCGTCACTGTTCGCTATTTTATGTATTATTGAGAAAAGGGCCAACTTATTCAGGAGATTCGAATACAGTTTTAGATAATTTAACAAACATAATGTTTTTAGCAATATTTTCACAGAGTAGTTGTAATCAATATACCATTTATGAGCCGTAGAATATAATTATTTGCCATTACTTACTCTTTCGCGCTTCCTTTTGAAGTATCCGGAATTTCCGATGAAGATAGGTTTACTATAAAGAGTCGTTGCTGTTTTGTCCTCTATAATGATACGCATATGGATTTTGTACACTCGGGCAAAAAGTTACTTAGGGTAGAACGCGGTTTCCTACTATAAGTGGGAGTTGTTACAAAATGGCAATTTGGGCCAAATATCGACTGCCTCTCAAAGGCCATCTGCCAATCCTTTGAAAGTATTGACCGAACGCGGACATTTCTTGAGGTGTAAAACCTATCTCATTAAGACTTCTAGAAGAGTTTTTCAAACTCTGCTTGGGCAAACATTGTAAGATGATTTAAAATATTGCCTCGTATTAGTTTTGTTCAACTGTTGTAACGTTACGCGAAAGAAATATTGTCTGCGGTATTAGTAAAACGAGTTAGTGCCAGCTATGTCTTCTTGCTATTTATCTTGAGCATCTTTTGATCTTCTTGTACGAGTAAACTGCAAACTAAGCACAATGGCTTTTTGCGGGGTAATTACATAGTCTAGGCCGTAATTGTTAAACATCTAGAGAACCGAGTTTCAGTTACTCGGTCATAAAATGTCACTTAGGCATTTTCTACACAGCCAATTACTAAATACACTAAAGTAAAAAAACAGCTTTACTTAATTGTGGTGACTGTAACTAAGAGCCCATAATGTTTGGATCTATATTTATAATCTTTCAGGGCGTGGTTTTACTGTAAACACTGCCATGAAGACATCAAAGATGAAAAGTTGATCAAGAAATGCAAGTGCAAAAATCGTAAGTAGAAACTATAATTTTTTTACAAAAAATCGCGCTTGTACTACACATGATTTAGCTTCCAGGGGAACTGATTAAATAGAAAGCTACTGTTGCAGGTCAGATAATATTTTTGTAACGCACATGAAAGTACACACCGACATATGCAAGAGTTTCTAGACGTCTTTATTGGGAACCACTAGGACATTCCTGCATATACCTAGGTATTCTGTGAATAGGCAATATTCATGTAGCTTCATAGAGTTACCTATGTTACTTGCATGAGGACATCTTTAATGAAAGAGTCGTTTAAAGAGAAGTTCTCTTGTGCGAAGGTAAAAGTTTTTTCGGATTTTTTGTTACATCAAACTACTCTTCTAATCTTACGTACCTTAGTATATTCATGATAATCGTTGACAATTCTTGTTTATATAAACATCGAATGAAGTTGCAATACCCATCATAAAATAAAATTAAACAGTACAGGCAGCGGGCGTGTAATGAATACTTAAACAAAATTAAGAAACAACTTAATTAGATTTTAAAGGAAGGCATGTGAATGCTGTGACGCAAAAGTGCCCTAAACAAAATAGAGGTAGAAAAGTAAGCAATTATCATGTGTACTATGCAGCACCACACGGAAAAGCGGTGCGTCAAATGGGAGAATACGATAAATCGTTGTGGCTAAAAAAAGTAAACTTCACTCGTATGGATTAGATATTAGACGCGTTTCTTCTATAGTAAAAACTATCCAATACGCTCGTTCCGCGCGCCTTGAGGATATGAGGCTAAGACGAGCCGGCATTTTTACAAAATAATCGGTAACGTTTTAATGGGAAAATTATGGTTAAAAATTATTGACGGGCTAGCTTTCTCAGGGCGTCATGATTCGTATACGAATATTAGATATTAATATCAGACACAATTCTCTGTTTCGTAGTTTCCATTTGACGCACTATTCTCCATATAAGGGCCAGCAGCCGTATTTCATTTGGGTATCATCATGAGTGCCGCTATTTCTGCTATTCAGCTAAAGCATCTCAATGAGCTGTTGTTGTCAGACATAGTGTTGATGTTCATCAAAGGAAAACAGTACCTAACGAAAATTAAACGAGGAAAAAAGAATCAAGCTCAATCGTGGCTTCAGAGCTGAGCTGTCCGCCATCTTCTTCATTTTGGTCATCTCACTTTTCATTTGGTGTCACCTATTACATTGTTTCATCTTGTATTCTTTTCTCCATTCATATGATCGTTACTGGTCCATATACTATGTAATTCTTTATTGTTTAGAGGATTTTTATCAATATAGATAGTACCTGCATTTGTGTAATGAGCACATTTAGCTTCAACACAATATATGTATATATCTATAGTCTTTGCGAGTATTCATTTCATGAGCTCTTTTCACACACTGATTGACTGGTTGTGGAATCAATTCACATAAATATTCTTAGAATAGATTCTGTTTGGCTGCTATTGTCGCTGCTGCTGTAACTTTGACTGGTGCAACGTTACACGGCATCGAGCATTTCGACTGGCGCACCTCAGTTTTTCTAATGCACTTTTCTATCTCCTTGAGGTAGTCGCTCTACTATCTAAACACTTAAACCGCCACAGCCTAACATGCTTTCTTATTGATCTTTTCCCTATTGCCTTCATTGGTCTTATGTTTTACTTTGCACCTCTTTATACCTTTTCACAATCGAGTGAACATCGTTCATGACAGCCAAAATAAAAGCTATATATATGTGCCATTATCCTCACAAATAAGTAAATCATTCTCCTGCGTTAGACTACCCTTCTTTCACAAATACAATGTTTCCTTGAACCCTAAATAATTATCCGAATCCCCCTAAACGCTCAATCCAACTAAGCTAAGGACGGTCCTAACAGATATAGCGACCTTTAAAATTCCGGTAGTTGAAGTGCACAAACCTACAGATATGCTAGATTAATCAACCACGTCGAGTTCGCTTAATAACGTCTACTTCGAGCTTTTATTTGATAATGTAATCCCTTCATAAACTTGCTCTAATTGTAACCCTCGATTACAGCCTAACTGTGATGGTAGCATTTAACCATTGCTCCATGGATTCTGATTAAATCGGCCCTTCAAACTATATTTTGATGAAACGCCTGAACAACGTTTACTTATTTTTTATCAGTTGATCCTAACAAGAAATATCTTTCTCGACGCATTTCGATACTAATCATCCAGCCAATCTATATCAATTTTCTAAAACAGATACTAAATAGCTTCCGTAATATATTCACAATGAAGACTAATATAAGAGGACTCAAAAAATAGACAATGTACTTTGAAAATGCTTCCGTGGTGCGCCGAGAACCTATTTGATCAACATAATCTGGCATTCTATTATTACCAGGGTCTAGAAACGCGCTTGTCAAAAACCTTTTCCCTTCCTATAAATACCTAAGTGTCAACCAATCCTTCCTTCACGTTTGTTGCCCATCCACCTGACCTTGCGAACAACAGCTTCCAAAACCGAGCAGCCCAAAAAATAGGCTGGGATCATATTGCTAGTATATTTTTTAAAAACTTTTTCTCTAATACTAGGTTGAATCTTTAGTTTGTAATTCCACAAACGGATGTACTTGGTATAGCTAATACGAGGCTTCGTTTATAAAGTGTTTCCATCAAATTTTAGACTTCTTTCGATTACAAGCAGTCACTTTTTATCAGACTCGGTCGAAACCTCGATCAGTTCCTTTACTGATGTACTAAAACAATGAAAGAAATTGTATAGCCTGGAAAAAAATAAGAGCAAATGTCAATTCTCATGAAATGAAGATCGAAAGAATAATTTCATCGACAAAATCTGAGTTAATTAGGTACAAATTCACTTGCCGAGAGCCTTCCTGCAGTTGATTAATTTGATACATCTGAAAGAAACACTCCTACACGTTCTAGTAATTCCCATCTGTTAGGAGCAGTAGTATATAATGGACAATAGCCCAAACTTATCACCATACGCTATTTGCATTAATAGCTTGTGTGCATTTTGAATATATATATATATATATATATATATATATATATGAATATACATAAGTCACTGATATCATCTGATCACTGGAATTGATCGAAGCTTCGATGTAGGGTTTGTTACCTCTTAAATGTTTTTAATCGATTGTTGTTGTGACCTTTTTTGATGTATGAAGCCACATTTTTATAATACGAATCAATATAATACTTTTGTAAAGATTGTGATTTAATGAAAGCTGCATTGTTACTTCATAATTTTGCAACGGTTGTTCTGACAACATAATTATATGGGCGTAAATGGTACTTTTAAACTTGAACTGGCAATGACTTTCGTCAGGCAAAACAACTCATTTTTTACATTTAAAGTCATCTTCTCGTAGTTAGCACCTTGAATTGTATCCGCCCAAATTGCCTTGGAGTTCCAGAGTTTTCTTAATTCACTCTGGCTTAATTGTTTCACCTGCCTCTCATAAACGTTCTGATCTGAGAAATTTACTACTTCAAGTTAATGCATCACAAGTTCGCTCGTAGGCATTCACGTTAAATATCTTTGAAGGTAGAGCTCACTAATCGAAGAGAAACCGATGTGGCCATTCTGTATTTTCTGGCAAATCCTACTGCAACCGTGTGTACTTTAAGCAATATTTATTTTACATCCTGAGTGCTAAAATTGCATCATCGAACATTACGCGCTTAGCGCGACTAATGATGATTGTTTGTTTCGTTCTTGTAAATACAGTAATTGGCAAACAGGAATACGAATATGTTTGTTGTAGATAAAAAAACAATATACATTGTATGATGTTAATAAATGTTGATGGATGCCTACATAGATTTTGTGTATATAAGAATAATATTTATATTTTAATGTAGTGACTGTGCACACGCACATACTACGCGTCAAAACACATGGATATGCTTATTTATAGTCATACGTATATTGCACTAACTTCTTTGTCGTTGTGTGTTACTTTGGGACCACAATAATAATGCAATTTGTTAAGGGTGAACTTATTTTACAGTAATACTATTAACAATGGTCGAGTATCTTATTATTAACATGAAGGTTAACATTAACGCGGCAATGTTATCGATTCACCTGTGGCCTCACCTCTCTTACGAATACCAGCAGCGGTCGTGGGTGGCGTCGGTCTGTTTAAGAAGGGCGTTCGCGCAGTTCAAGCCGTGAGCCGAGCAAGTAGGTCCACGTTGATTGCTGCTTATTGACATGTCCACATCATTCGATGATCGCTATTGATATGTCCATCCTTCCTCCCAGTTATTGAGTGATAATTGGCTGATTCCTTTCATTTCTGAGTTCGAAATGACGATCGATTGATTCAGGTCATTCAGACTACATGTACCAACAATCCCTTCTCGTTATTGGTTAATGATCTAATGTTTGTCCGTACAAGTATCAATCGTCGTATAACATTATCGATATTGACGCATATATATATGTGTGTATACATATATATATATATACATATATATTTTCTTTTCACCTAGATGTCCTTAACCCCTTTGTTTTGAGCATTTATTGATTGATTGATTGGTCTCAGTGATTTGACTGGCTGATCGAACGAGCATCGCAAGCTGCCCGCCGCACCAGTCGAAATATGATGGTGCTTCATTGGTTGGTGATAATGGCTCCTGCTCGATGATACTACAGTACATTTTATACACAACTGAGTGATCGATCGATTGATCTATTACTCATATATATATATATATATATGTTTTACGGTCCATTGATAGATCGATTTTGTCTCGACCGATTGACTGAGAAGGCCGTAGTCACCATGTTTAATTGAAGTGAATGGTCGATTGATTGAATGGTTAGTCCACAAGCTGATTATTCCATCAACATGAATGTAGTGCGCCCATCGATGATCAAGACAGCCAGATGAAAAGCATATATATATATATAAATATATACATGTGAAAGTGTTTGTTAATTTTGCTATATATGGCAAGGGATCATCGATTGCTTGATTGTGCATCAATGCTAGAA